TCTCTCTCTCTCTCACTCTCTGTCTTCCCCTGTTCCCTTCTCTCTCTCTCTCTCACTCTCTGTCTTCCCCTGTTCCCTTCTCTCTCACTGTCTCACTCTCTATTCCTGTTCGCTTCTCTCTGTCAGTCTTTCTATCCCTGTTCCCTTCTCTCTATCACTCTCACTCTCTAACCCTGTTCCTCTCTCTCTCACACACACGCTTTGTCTCTAACCCTGTTCCCTTCTCTCTCTCTCTCTCACTCTCTAACCCTGTCCCTCTCTCTCTCACTCTGTCTACCTCTGTTCCCTTCTCTCTCTCACTCTCTATCCCTGTTCCCTTCTCTCTCGCTGTCTCACTCTCTATCCCTGTTCCCTTCTCTCTCTCTCTCTAGCCCTAATCCTCTCTCTTTCTCTCTCACTCTGTCTATCCCTGTCCCCTTCTCTCTCTGCCTCACTTTCTTTCCCTATTCCCTTCTCTCTGTCACTCTCTCTCTCTAACCCTGTCCCCTTCTCTCTCTGCCTCACTTTCTATCCCTGTTCCCTTCTCTCTGTCACTCTCTCTCTCTAACCCTGTTCCCTTCTCTCTGTTTCTCTCTCACACACACTCCCTCTCTCTTTATTTTTTCCACTGGTCCCTTCTCTCTGTTTCTCTCTCTCTCTCTCTCACACACACACACACACTCTCTCTATCCCTAGTCCCTTCTCTCCCTGTGTTCTTGTTCTGTCTCTAACTCTATCTATCCCTGTCTGTCTCTATGCTTATTCCTCTCTCCCTCTCTCTCTCTCTGTCCCTGTTCCTACCTTTATTTCTCTGTATCTATCCTTGCGCCCCCACCCACCTCGCTCTCTATCCCTGTACCTCTCCAGCTGTCTTTCTCTTCCTCTGTCCCTGGTCCCTTCTCTCACTTTCAGTATTTTTTCTCTTTCCTTTGTATCTCTGTCTCCTTCTCTCCGTCCCTAATTAGACTCACTCTCTCTGATCTGTCTCACTCTCTATCGCAGATTAGACTCTCTCCCTCTCTCCCGGTTCTCTCTCTCTCTCTCTCCTTCCGTCTCACTCCCCCCCAACCCCGGCTCCCGCTCTGGCTCGCTGCAACATTCCCAGTTCCCGGCGGTTTTCCCGGGATTCCCCGGACTCCACGTCCCAGCCAGAATTCCACCCCGCGGTTTCAAGGCGGCCCTTAGAATTCAGCTGGGAATCCGAGAGGGAGAGAGGGAGAAAGGAAGAAGGGGAAAGAGAGACAGGGAGAGAGAGAAAGGGAGGGAGGGAAGGAGAGAGAGAAAGGGA